CTGTTTCAAACTCACTCACTCTCTCTCTCTCTCTCTCACTCTCTCTCTCTCTCTCTCTCTCTCTCTCTCTCTCTCTCTCTCTCTCTCTCTCCATATATATATATATATATATATATATATATATATATATATATATATATGTATGTATATATATGAATACGTATATGTTCGTGTGTGTGTGTGTGTGTGTGTGTGTGTGTGTGTGTACGTATGTGTGTTAGTGTGTGTGTGTGTTTGTGTGTGTGTGTGTGTGTGTGTGTGTGTGTTAGTGTGTGTGTGTGTATGGAAAAGTTAATTGAGACATCATGCTATTTCCGCGCTCAAGGAGCTCCATTTCGCCAAAATAAAACCGTCTATTTCATCCTTTCTCCCGGTTCGGTGAGTCGCCATTGTGCGCGTTCGAAAGGAAGCCTTGAATCTCTCCCCAAAGACGTAATTCACTGATATCAGATTCAGAGCGAAGCGAAAGGAAGTAAATTTGATTCGCTGAGTGAGTATATAACATTTCTCACTTCAGAGGAATTACGAAATAAACACACGAATCCATTTTCGATGCTAAGCCTTCGATGAATCAAAGCCGCCTCCGGACTGGGACGCGGTCGGGAAGGCAACACGTGATCAAGCCAGTTGTTGTTGTTAGTGTTGTTGTTATTGTTGTTGTTATTGTTATTCTAATGCTTGGTGTTGTTGTTATTGTTGTTGTTATTATACTTGATGTTGTTGTTATTGTTGTTGTTATTGTTGTTCTTATGCTTGGTGTTGTTGTTATACTTGATGTTGTTGCTATTGTTGTTGTTATTGTTGTTCTTATGCTTGGTGATGTTGTTATTGTTGTGGTTGTTATACTTGGTGTTATTGTTATTGTTGTTATTGTTGTTGTTATACTTGTTGTTGTTATACTTGATGTTGTTGTTATTGTTGTTCTTATACTTGGTGTTGTTATTGTTGTTCTTATTATACTTGATGATGTTATTGTTGTTCTTATACTTGGTGTTGTTGTTATTATTGTTGTTGTTATACTTGATGTTATTGTTATTATTGTTGATATTATTGTTCTTATACTTGACGTTGTTATTGTTGATGTTGTTATTGTTTTAGTTCATGTTGCTGTTGTTCTACTTGATGTTATTATTTTTGCTAAAGTTGATGTTGTTTATGTGTTATTGTTATTGTTATAGTTGATGTTATTAGATTTGATGTTATTATTGCTGTTGTTGTAATTGATGTTATTATTGCTGTTGTTGATATTGATGTTGAATGTGTTGTTGAAGTTGTTGATATTGATATTGATGTTGTTGTTGATGTTATGTTGATGTTTTTGATTTTGTTGTTAATGTTGTTGATGTTGATGCTGTTGATGTTGATTTTGTTGTTGATGTTATGTTGATGTTGTTGATAATGTTCATGTTGATGTTGTTGATTTTGTTGTTAATGTTGTTGATGTTGATGCTATTGATGTTTATTTTGTTGTTGATGTT